TAACTTTTTTTTTCTTTTCATTTGTTTCATTAAACTTTTACTATTCATTCTGACAGTCTCTCTTCGACACTTACTTGTTTGTTAAATCGTTTTTGTTGTCGCAGTAATTTTAGTATTTCAACTTAAACTGCTCTATGTTAATTCTTTGATGGATATTACTAAACTTTTATAATACTTTTTTTTTCTTAATTTGTTAACATTCATTTCTATTTGCATAACTTTTTCAATTGTTTAACAATTTGAAAATTTTCCAACTTTTCAATTTCATTTGTTTAAGCAATGATTTTAGCTATATATTAAGTGCTCTGATTTATTTAATTTTACATATCTGATTGATTTAAAAAAAAATCTAAAATATATATATATTCATTATTTTATTGATATCTCTAAATGTAGTTTTCTTAATAATGCTTTTTTTCCTTTTTATCTACAAACTATAAAAATGATACATTTTAAGCATATTTATCATTAAACTAACTTAAAAGAAATGATTAAATAAATGATTAATATTTTAAAGCTTAGCTATTAATTTTAATTATACACAATCAATGCTTACTTCTTCTGTTCAAAGCGGTTGCTTTTTGCATTGTGACGAATGAATGAATGAATAATCATTGCTAATAGTTTTGCAACTGTTCCCATTTTGAAGTATCTTTTCGTTTTCAAAAATGTCGGTCTAATTGAAAGAAATGCTTTGAGAGATTATTGAATGATTGTTTCTTATCAAACTGTAATATTCCCTCTCTTCCCTTTCTCTTCTCCTCTCTCTCCCTCTCTCTCTCTCTCTCTGTGTGTGTGTGTTTTCTTCTTGATCTGATATGAATGATTGAAAGTACTTTTCTCCTTTGTATCTCTTTTTCTTACATTAACAGAGTAATAATCTCTTTCTATTTTGTCAATATTTTTAAGCTTAACTTTTTTTTTTTGCAAAGTTTTTCTTCTTACTTTCTTCTTTTTTTTTTCTCTCTCTCTGCAAACTGTAAAAAAGATTCATTTCGATTATGTGTTAATAGCATGAATCATTGCTAACATTCATTCAAACTATTCTCATTTCTTTAAGAGATGACAACTTTGCTTCATTTCTCACCTGTCACTCTCTATCTATTTATGCTAGGTGTAAAAAATTTTACAATTAACTAAGTTACTAGCAACTTTAAAGCTAATCAAATGATTGGACATCTTAGAGATATCACAATGGTTGGTCACTTTATTCACATAGATGAAGAATTAGCTGTAATCCTTTTCGTGGTGTGACACTTAGGAATGACCTTTTATAACCAACAACATCACACGTACTCGATAAGATTTGCTTCATCAAATTTTTCCACTGTTTCAGAGGACGACATTCGACCCAAGGTCATGTCATATCTTTGCATTCCACTTGAACAACTAGATGAACTGTCATGTTTGCGATGAACTTTCTTTTTGCGCAAATATACTGTTGTTTTATATCCTATGCAAACAGTATACTACTTTATATTAGTGTCATTGTTTTTTTTTTTTTCATCCTCTCAAACTCTTTTCATTTTTTACTTTCAAAAAAGATATGAAATTATTTCCTATCAATGTTAAATAGACTGTTAAAAATTGATGAAATTTTAGCATTTACAAATAGTCTGTGCTTACTAAAGCACAAATAATTTTATTTAACAAAAAAAAAAAAATGCTATGTCTGAAATTGAAATTCAATTTTATCCATTTTTTTTTCATTCATTTGTTATTTACTTATTTTGTTTGTTGTTTCAGAAATGAAAAATGCAATGCAAAAAATAAATGCAATGTTCAGAAATTATTAATACCAATTAACTAACAAACAATTGCTAGAAAATTTGCTCATGAAAGATGCAACTTACAGTTTAAAAATTATGGAAGTAAAAAAAAAAAAAAAACAGTAGTATTTTGATCTTATTGATCAGTCAAATTAGTTTAATTAACATTGATGCAAAATTTAAAAGTATTGCTACAAATTTCTAAATGAGAAAAAATAATTTGTTACAATAGTTTATCACTTTTTTATAAGTTAGAAATTACAAAATACATTGAACATTGAAATATTTAACAGAAATAATAAACTTTAACATTTTTTTTAAACAAAAATACATAGTCAATAATGGAATTAAAGTTCATAATAAAAGTTTTAATAAATTTAGTTTTTTTTTTCTTCAAAAAATCAAAAAAACTACTTTCTATTTGTGCATGGCGAATTTAGGCCGTCTGAATTGAATGTACAACGATGGAAATGATTGATTTATTTATAAATTTCATTTCATAACAATTAAATAAATGTATGCATGTGCTTGTTTTTTTTTTTTTTAAATTAATTTTTTTTCGGTTGCACATTTTGAATTTAGTTGGGTTTACTTTTTTTTTCATTTATTAAAAGAATTGAATCTGAAGAATCAAAATGAAACTATTTGATGTACAACCGGAACAAACTTTCCTGTTCCTCTCTTCTTCTTCTTCTTCTTTCTATATCTCTTTTCAACCAATTAAAATTGTTTATTCATTTAGACGATTCACTTTTCCAGCAATGATTTAATTACTTTTTTCTTTTTTTACACTCTCTTTTTACCTTGATCATTTTTTATTTTCGCACAATGAATTAAATTTTATTGAATGTTTTTAACAAATGATTTTTTTTTTTGAACTTGATTGAAAACAATTTAAATTTTTAATATTACTGTTAACAAATGTTACTTTAAGTATGAATTTAGTTACACTATAAGTTATTACCGTAATAGTTTAATAATGATTATTTATCTTCTATTTTATACCCTAACTTTCTCAAGATTATGCTAATTCACTTCACTGAAAACATAAAAATATATGCATTATCGATTATAGCGACTGATAACTGATAAATTATCAGTGTGTGTATGTGTATGTGTGTAATATTTCAACCTATATTCCTAGTTGACTTCAATGAAATCTATCATTTTCTTCTCACATTTCTTTATTTTATAAAAATTGATCAATTTAAATTTAAAATTCAGAAAAGATAAAAAAAGAAGTAAAAAAAAAAGAAAAATGTGAAATTAAATTTCATTTTAGTTTGCGCCGAAAATCTTTGAGAAAGTACAAACCTAATAGTTATCATCATAGAAAAGCAGAAATGAAATAAAAATTTGAATTTAATTTGAGAAGTTTATTCAAAAAAAAATGAAATGAAATGAAATGATATTTAATGTTTTACTTGTCATTGACTTTAAAATTGAATAAATTATACAATAAAGATTGATTATGTCATTGCAAATGTGATATTTCGATCTATTAATGTTATCGTAAATGCCTTTTCTCTTTATCGCTTTTTCCACAATTCACCTCTCATTCTTCCTCTCACAAACATTCATCTTTTAATTTATATTCGTCCTACATTTAAATTTCTGTGTAAATTTTCTAAAAATTAAATTTATTAGTTTTCACTCCACTACTACTACTACTGAAATTTAACAGTTTAAATTATTTATCCATAATATGGCACAAGCGTTACCATTTTAAATGATTTCATTCTCAAAGTATCAAACGGTGAATTATTCATGTTTCTTCGTTCTTCCCTTAGGCTATTTGCATAAGATTATGTTGAAAAATTGATCTGATCAATCGATCAATCAATCAATCGATCAATAGAATTGAATATAATTCTATCAGTTTAACAATTTAAACAAAAATTGGCTCACTTTGAAAGATTAATTCCGGAATCTGCTACATAAATCCAAACAGACGCGTTGTTGTCTGCTTCCAATAGTAAATTAACATAAATCTAACTAATATAAATTATATTATTTCCTTTCAAAGTCATTATAATCATTTAACTAAATGTTTAGAATCAAGTTTTAAAATCTTCTCTATTTCAACTTTATCACATTTAAATGATCACAACCACTCTTATCAATTGTAATTTCTGATTTCTGCAATAGCTTTTTACTAGTTTTCCCATCTTATCATTATTGATATCTTTTTCTTTATTTTATTTCCTTTTGTTTAGCAGTTATATTATTGAAATAAAAAAAAAATATTTCAAGTAATACTTTTTTTTTTCTCTTTTCATAAGTTGTGACATTTATCAATAAACTCCATTTAAAGAGAAAGTTAAATAATTTTACTAAAAATTTTCGAATAATTGCTGTGTAATTTAATTCTCATAAAAAATTTCTGTATTTCATTAAATTTTTTCCAAATAATCAAGCTTATTTCATTTCTAACCAATTTAAAGAAAAAAAAAGAGTTATAATTTTTAACTTTTATAATTTATTATGAATTATATATAAACCAAGGTGCTATTTTTTTTTTTCAAATAATTGCTAGGTAATTTAATTCTCATATAATATAAATAATTTTATGGTATTTTCGAAATATTCCTTCAAAAGTGTTTAACTTTTATAAATTCAGAATTGATTTTTTTTTCTCAAATTTATTTTTAGAAATAAATATTTTCTTTTTTTTTTACTTTTTGAATTCTGGATTGTATTTTTGAAAATTGCTATTGTAAAATGTAAAATTTACCATTTAACTGTTTCTTCTTCTTCTTAAATAATATAATTTCATAGCAGAAAACACATATCAATGAAATGTCATTTTGTTAAAATATCATGATAAATTACGTTTGCTAATTTATTTGAGCTTTTTAAAAGAAACTGATAAAATTTTTTTTTTTGCAATTTCTTCATCAGTTAATTTTTTGAAACTAATTGCTTGATTGTAAGAACAGATAAATAAGTAATAAATTAATTGTGTAAAGTGTGAATCATTAATGTTTAGTGTAAAATTATCTAAGAACAAGCAAATTAATCTGAATGAAATTTAAATAAGCTTAAATTTGCATTATATTTAAGTATTTGCCAGCTACTACATTGCAATTAATCTGTGACATCGAATTATTCACTGAAAAAAAAAAAAACATTGAGAAATTATTTTCGTGCAATAAACTTTAAAATAATTTATTCACTTTTATTGTATGCATTGAAATTTTAGGTGAATATTGTAAATGAATAAAAGATGAAATGGTATCGGATCAAGAGAAACTTCGATCAAACAGCAATTGTAGTTGCATCGATGGTGACAAAAATGATATCAATGATATCAACTATGATAATATGAAATTAACGGTAACATCGATAATGTCTTCATCATCGTCATCATCATCATCAACAACGACAACATCATCAACATCAACAACGTTAAAAAATGCTGAGGGTGACCATGACACAGAAAGATTTGAGAAGTTATCGACGTAAGTTTTACTCAAGAAAAGATGATTGTATATGAAATTAAAGCGATTCATTAATTAATTAATAGTTTGCTTATTAATTAGTACCGAAAAATTTTATGTTGATGAAATATTCAGGAAGTAAATTATATTTTTAGGTATTATCGTAGTACAACAGGTACACCTACAAGTTCGGCAATCATTCAGGAATCAATTATGAATACTACAACAACTGCTGATTGTGATTTAGGTAGTTAGAAGTTTAAAATGTAATATAAAATTTTTGTCGAATTGTTAAATTATAGTGAAAAATTTTCTCATTCATATGTTTATCAAATTTTTCGTTTATAATCTTTTCAAAAAAAAAACCTCTGCAGTTGGATTACAGGTAAATCATCCTTTTAATGCTACGACTAATTTTATAGGTCATGCATCAGCCGAAACTCTAACACGTCCGTCACGTGCATACAGGTTAGACTTTTGAATGCTCTACAGAATATAAATTAAAATATAATTTGAAATGATATCGAAGCGAATTCAGTGTAGCATAAATTCTTTTATCATAGTCTCTAAATTATTTTTATTCAAATATGTACCAAATTGATTTTAGAGATTTTTGATATAATACTTTAGTATTAAAATTTAGAAATTAAATCCAACAAAAAAAAAGAGAGAAAAATATTTAGTTGGATAAAAAGAGGGCAAAGTAGCGCAATTGGCACACATACACAAACATACACAAATGGAAAATACTTCCCACAAAAATGATAACGACTAGCATTTTTGCACATCAATCTTATAAAATGACAAGTTATCGAAGAGAATGGACAAATTAGCTTTTTGCATATTTATGTTTAGACAGAACAGAAGAAGATTAGTTCGAGATTAATAATTAATTCGAGAAGCTGAACACAAAACCATTTGGCATTAATAAATTATTGACATTTTATTGTCTGAAATGAATACTTTAAAGATTTACATTTTTTTTGATATTTCTTTTGTATTTTCATTCATTCATTTTTTTTTTTTTTTGCTAAAATTTTACTAATTTAAAAATTCATTATTTCAATCACTGGTTACAATTTGAATGTTATTGTGGCTATAGAGTATAACATAAAGATTGTAATCTTTTTTTTTTTTTTTCTTTAGAAATTGATTAATTACTTAAATATTTTTGTTAAAAAAATTTGAAATAAAAAATCGGAATTTTTTTTTTGCAATTTTTTCCTAAAATAATATCTTATAATTTTTTTTCTCTCTCTTTTAGAATAATAGATAGCAACGTTTCGCAAAAAATTTTACAACAATTGGTTGCTGATAAATTAGCCGCCGCACAAACAACCGGAAAAGGAACAAAATTTTTAAAAAGAAAAGGAAGTAGCAAAGGAACGAATAATTTTTTCTTGTAGGTTTACTTATAAAATTAATTGTTTATTACAATGACACTAAAAATTTGCATTTAAATAGATTATAATAAGTATTGCAAATAGTTATAATAAATAAAACAAATAATAGATATTGACAATTTTAGCCAACGACAATCCAATTTTGGATCACAAATTTGGAATAGAACTGACGAATTATCACTCATCTCGAAAGCACCAATTTTTCGCACTCATTACGATGTCGTTAGGACGTCAAGTTTTAGTGGAAATCAAACGCAAATAATTCGCAAACATTTGGATTACAATCGTAATTCATTACCTGTCAATATTATTGCATTGAATAACGAGTTAGTTTCATCTTAATTTAAATATTCTAGGTAATTTCATTTAAAAGATAGCTTATTTATCTAGAAAATTAATAAATTAAGAAAAATGCAGGAGCTAATAGTGCTAATGAATTCAGAATATTATGTGAGTTTTATAGATAAATTTTTGTTAATAAGTTAGCAAAGAATGAAAATTAAAATCTTATTAAATAAGTTATGGTTTTGTTAAAAAAATAAACTTTTTAGGCATCATTTTATTTTACTCAATGTGTTTTACTTAATATTTTTAAGCATCGTTTAAACTCTCTTAATTGTAGCTAAAATATTTGTTAAAATATTAGTTTTAATTTTCTTTGATAAATATAAGAAGTAAAAAACTTACTTTAATTATTAAAATTATCTATGATCTGATTTGTTTTTTTTTTCACACTGATTATTTTTCTTAAAAAGAAGGCTAAAATTTTTAGTAAAAATTGTGTTCCATTAAAATATCTAATAAACATTCCAATAAATTGAGCTTTTTTCTTCAATAACTGTATGCCATCAAATAAATGGAGACAGTTCTTAGTGACAGCTCAAAATATTTTCTCCTTTCATCATGAATTCTCGGTCAATTAAAAATCGAGATTAGTCTTTATATCTTCAAATTAATGCTCGTATTTGTGACTTACTATAAAATGATCTGCTAGAAATCTTTTCATCAACGAATTTAATCCTAAAATATTATTGACCCAAAAAAGAACAAATGTGTCTTTAAATAAATAAATGAAAATCTCAACAATATTTTTAAAAATTAAATCTTTTTCATTTTTCATAAATTGATAATATTTTATCCAATAATCAAATTTGCTAATTTCATTTTTTTTTTCTATTCAAGATATTTATTTCCTCTTACATCAACAATTCTCGATCAATTCTAGCATAAATTAATTTTTGCAATGTACATCTTCTTCTGCTTTCCTAATAATTATCATTAGCTTCTTCATTAAATGTTTATGCAAAATTAATTATTCAAATTAATTGATTGAAGAAGCAGGAAGAAAAAATTGGTTTATTTTACATGTAAAGGAGGAAAATATTTATTTATCATTGCTCTCTCACATTTATCTTATTGAATTTTCAAATAGATCATTTTGGAATGATTAGGCAGACATATATCAGATAAGTTTCGGGAAATTTGACTTATAAAGATAAGCATCAAATCTGATATGGTTGTTTTCGCTTCGGCAAATGATCATATCTCAATAAATAGCATTCGAGAGTGTTAAACTGATCTAAGTGAATTTTAGTGAAAATTTACTTGTTATAATTTTTTTTTTTACATATCATTAGTGCATTATTCTCGCCAACAACTGAATTACATTATCATACTACAGTGCTAATTATGTGATTAGCTTGTCATTTTTACTACTTCATATATATTCCATTTGAAAATTAACATAAAAATTCAATAATTTAATTTGAGCATTTAACAAAAAACAAAGCACGAATAAACGAAAAAGTGGAATGAAAAAAAAAGAGAGAGAGAATAAACAAAGAAATAGAAAATAAATTTGATTACAATTTCTTCAAAAGGTTAACTTCCATTGACCTTTCTTCACCCTTTTTTTTTTTCTGTCACTATTTCTGTCATTTTTTTTTTGCTTATGTCACTTTTTTTTTAACTAAATGGTGGAATATATGTGAATTTGTCTGGATAGTTCTATTGTTTACTGTTTTGTTTACCTACCGAGTTATCATTTGTGAGTGTTGTAGAGTGGAGGAAGCAAAAGATGTATGATTTGAATAGTTGATGGCTTATTGAATGAAGGAATTTTGTTTGGTCATTGTCACTCGATCACTCCTGTTTCCGTCATTTCGATTTCAACTACCAATCTTTTATCCATTTTACTATTTCCTCATCTATTCACTCTTTATTCTTTTCAATTTTTGCAAAATTCTTATTGATTTTATCCTTTTTTTTTTTTTTTTTTAAATCATTCTTTGATTTATTTTATAGTTTTTCAGTTCAGTTCAACAAAAATTTAGATTTAAGAATAAAAATTTCATATATTTGAAGAAATTAAGAGTGGGAAAGTTTTATTATCACATTTCACTGTGTGCTAAAATTATTTGTCGTAAATAAAAAATCAAAAAATTAAGAAGCTCTTATTTTTAAGCCTAAAAGATGAGAATTTGTTTTTTTTTTTCTTGTAATAATTCAAATACAACAAATAATTAAATGAAATCCTAATGCAGTTGTAATGAATTTGAACTATTAGATCTTTCTGGTCTAGTTGGCTAATTGTTAACTAAGGAAAAGGAAATTTTTTTGTTGAATTAAAAAACAAAAAAATAACTGAATTGTTGATGTTTGAGAAAAAAAAAATTTTTCTTCATTGAATAATAATATTTCGTTTTGGAAAACAAACAAGTTTTCCAATCTTTTAATTGGAAGAAAAGGCGAAAAAACTTGTTTATGTTACTAAAATGGAGCAAGCACATATAGCAATTATAAAATATTTTATTGCAAGAGAAAAAGATGTATAAGACATGTGTTGAAGATAATAGGAAGAGAAATTTTTGGGTATGTTTTATTTGTGGGCAAAATGATGAGAGAATTAAAGAGTAAATAATTAAATTACATAATGATTCGTTAATGATTATTTGATATTAGAGTGGACAGAAGAATTGCTCAAATTATTCTCAAAAGAATGTTTGATCCATTTGCTGTAAAACTAGTTCCACTACTAAGTAATATTAGTCTTAAGAATAAGTATTTGTTACGATTGAAAGACCTTGGAAAAAGTAGAAGTAATGATGAGTAAAAGCATTGGACAAAAAAACATTATCTGAAAAGATTGCCAAATTCTTCATTTTGTTCAAAAAGCTTTTTTCTTTTTCTTTTTTTTTCATTGTAAACATTTTCTCAGTAATTACTACCGAAGTTTTTTTTTTTTTTAAATCTTTTTGTTAGTTTTATTTAAACAAATTAATTGTAATTTTGTTAGGAAGCTGAATTTAATTATTTTTAATGCATTCATTCATTCATTCAGAGGAAATAAATTCATATTTATTATTTCTAACTAACTCATATCTCTTCTATTACTTTAATATTTTATTAATGTTATTAAGCGAAGCTAAAGTGTTGTAACTTTATCTCAATTGTTTTCTCATTTGTTTAATGATGAATGTTTGCTTCACAACAACAACAATTTATTATCCCATTGCTATGGAATATTTCATTATAATTACTTCTGACTTTTAGAATTTTTACAGCAAAAACTTTAAAAAAAAAAAAGTTATTCCTCATTCTTCTTTCTTTATTGAAATTTATTAAAACAATAAAAGTATGTGAATATTTAGATGATTACTACCTAATTATCAATGATTATCATTTCACAATATGTCACCATTTGATATGATTTGATAAAGAGCTTAACACTTTCGTCTTATCAACTGAGCTAAATGATTGAATGTGCCAAATGTGGTGATAATATTTATATTTAAAATGATAATTTCTAGAAATGTTATATTATATGTTTAAATGAAAGTTAATTAGTTGTTTAATAATTATAATATCACTATAAAGTAATAATGCATGTAAAAGGTACTTTAGGACTGGTTTAATGCTCAATCATCCATTTCTGCCATTATTGTCAAAATTTTACTTTTCCATTTTCGTTTCATCAGAAAATCTCTCTCTCTCTCTCTCTCTCCCTCTATCTCTGTATCACGTATACTCTTTCAACAGCAAATATTATCCAAAATTTTCATTTACATATTTAATCGATTTCTAGGTGAAGTCGTTCAATTAGAATAAATATCTATGAATGATCAATATTATTGGTGAAAAAGATGCCAAAAGACATTTATAGAAATAAAAGTTAGACGCTTAGCCTAAAGCTGTTTATCACTTTGTTTATTATCCTTAAGTTAGACTATTATTTCTCGTGGAAGAATGATATAACCTTAACATGTGATTGTCTTTATGGCTTTGTGGTTCAGTAATCTTTTGACTTTTCACTTCGAATCGATCCGATCTCAAGGAGCATTACATTCCAATTTCATTTTTAGAAGAGAAATAGTTCTTTAGTTAAGAAAATAGCTCCTACTTTATTCTCTTTATGACCTTATCAATTCATCATATATCGATTGATAAGAGCAACTGATAAGAGCTTTAATCTTTAATTTAGTAAATCGATTCATAAGGATATCTACCAAAAGATAACTGACATACGTTTTTTACTCCCGAGTGAAGCTAAATAGTAATATCGGATGAATTTACTGAAAGTTTGATGAATTCTCGAGAGTTCTAGCTACAACCAGTTTACATTAGCAAACTGATATGATTTTGAACTTCATTTCAACACAATATTCACATAATAACGTCTATTTAATCGAGTACTTTCACATTTACTTTAACATTTTTTTCACGTGCTATTACGTATCACACATACGTGAAATGTATTGTTTATCTTCCACATTTGCTCTACCTTACTTTCTCTACTTTTACTTTACTTTCTTTACCTTACTTTACTTTGCTTTATTGTTTATCATGCATAATACTGCAACATGTTCTTTTTATGTTTATCTTTTAATGCAATGTGTCAAATTATTCAGCCATCAAGAACTTCGTGAATAAATGCATGCATATGTGAATGCATGCATTCCACGTAATCTTGTTTACATATATTGCATTGAAATTCTCATATTGCGCTTTAGTTACAAACCACAATCATTCCTTATCTTATGCTAAAAATTTATGGCTATTTGTCTCTTCTTCAATTGGCTTAGAAATGAAAAGTTAACTTTTGCTTGCAGTAGGCTATTTTATGCTTAACAATTCAATTCAATTGCATGAAACTTGCAAAGACTGAATTGAATTTATTGGTTCGCTTATTTCTTTTCATTGAGAAAATTTAGCACTTTAAAATTTTCTTTTGTAATGTAAGAGCGCATTTTCTTTTCTTTAAATCACTTTGTCGTATGTAATTTTTTCTTTTCATTGGAAATAGGATTAATAGGGTAAAATTATTCAAATATTTTTCATAACTAAATAAAATAAATCACCTTGACATATGATAATGTCACCAATTACGATCATGTCACATTAGGGACAACAGCGCTTCTTTTGTGTTACGACGAATGAATGAATAGTAGATTGTTCGTTTTCATTCATCCTTCCTCTTCCACTGTTTATCATTTATTTCCTTTCATGTCTGTTCAATAATGTCATCTCATTGACTTTATCAAAATGAATGGTAAACATTTCAATAGTTAAAATATTACTGATAAAGATGGACCTGATAATATGATAAAGGAAAGGAATGTAATACAGAGATTTGATCAGAGAAGAAACGCTTACTTTATCAATGCTTTGTTTTAAATTTCATTTAATAAAATATATTAATTCAGGACATATTAATTTGTAATATTAAAAAAAAAAAAAATTTAGAGACTTATTAGATTTTTGCATTCAAAAAGTAAAAATAAATTTAGTCGAATTTTAGAATTGCATTTACTCTAACAGATAATTGAAAAGGCAAAAGTACTTAAACATATGTATAAATTAATTCTTGCTATATTTCACATTAGCAAAATTGATAGCAATTATTTAATTTTGTCTCCTTGCTTATCTCTTCTGATTTTTATTAACACAATGATACACTTTCAATGATTATGCTTTATCACTTTTATTGATAATCATTTATTGTTATTCTTATAATGAAAAGTTATGTTATCAGGAATGAATAAGTATAGATGAACATTGTAATGTAAAATAAATGTTGTAATAAAGATTATCAAACAAAATTTGTCAAATTAATACTATAAAGTATAATAGTTAATATGAAGTAAATAGTTTTTTTTTTTTTTCAAATTTTTTTTTACGAATTCTAAAAATATATTTGTGTTTCGTATTATCAATGTCATCGTGCAGTAATTTTTCCTAACAATTATTTCTTTCGTTAACAACTACTAATTTATAAAATAACAGACTTGCTTCGATTTAATGGTTCGTTCAATTTAATTTTAACTGTCAGTCACTTTTAATTTATTCAAATTATGCCTAATTGGGATTTTGAATATTTAAATGAAAAATTGGTTGATTTATTGCCATAACTTTTATGTTTATTTAATGAACATTTCATATTTGTGTTTGTTAAAATAGTGTAAATCAATTATTACTCATAGATGTGCTATTAATTTCTTTAACAGCCAAAGACTTTTATATTACCATCATCTGAAATATAACCTTATAAATTAATCTAAGAACTTAATGACAAATAAAATTGTGATTTCAAATATTTAAATGAATACATTGGTTAATTCTATCAAATGTGTTGCATACATTTTATACTTCTAATTATACTTTCAATTATTTATTCTAGTTGTTGTACTTTTTTTTTTATCTATTCAATTTCTTTTTTATTGTATTTTTTTTTGCGAATTCTCTAATTATGTATTCTAATCAAGCATTTCTGCTATGTGATACTTTAAGTTAGCTTTTAGAATTTATAATTGAATATTGCTAATTTAATATATTATGAATAATTTATCATTAATTATTTCCAATTTTCTTATATTTACCTTTTCTTTCTTAATTGATCAAAATTCCAGTAAATTAAAAGCATTCATTTCTTAGCTTTGTTAATAATATTTGTAATATCACGCAAGCTTCACATGATTTCAACACATTTTGCAAATAAACTTTTGTTAGAAAAAAAAAAAAAAAACTTGAAAATAATTTGTAGTTTGTTGATTTGTTTGTTCATTTATAGCATCACTTTTCATCAAATCTCATTTATATTTTTGATTTTGTCAATTATTTGTTGTCAGAAATGTTTGTCATTTGAAAATATTACAAAAATTATATCTCTTAAATATATTTTAATGACATCACCAATTTGAAATCCATTTTTCCTATGACAACAACAACAACAACAAAAAAACTATCTGAAATGCCTTGTTATTCTAATTTTTTTTTCTTCTTCTTCATATCACTTATCTTTTAATTAGAATAATTCGCATTATTATTCTCCCATTTTGCATTCCTGAAAATTAAACTCTTTTTTTTTTTTTGCTTCATTTCTTCTCTAAAAAGAATGATTGATAATGTTATGTCATGGAAGAAAGAAAAGAAAAGAATTTTTTTCGATATTACATTTTCAGTGCAATATAATGGAATTCGGAAATTATTAGAAAAATCAAATTACAGGTTATAAAATTATTAATTGATAAATTCATCAATTTATTTTTATGGATTTTTTTTTTCCTTTTTTTTTCCCATTTCACTGTGCTCTTTTTTAGCCTTCTGTTGTTGTTTTTTTTTTCTTTTTTATTTGTTTATTTTTTATTTTTGTTTGAAATTTCTATACTATTCGACGATTTCTTTTAATTTGAAAAAAGAATGAAATCTTTTTGAAAAAAAAAAATGAAAATGAAGAAGAGAGTTACTTTAGAAATATTTGTCAACATTTAATGGTAATGCAATTCGCTAACTCTTGATTGATTTTGATAGCAAATCTTAATTCAACATCATCATTATTCAATCAATCTCTTAAAAAGAAAAAAAAGTGATTGTTAATCTTAGAATAGCCAATTTGATTGTTGAAGTTAAATTATCAAAGGTATATGAATGAACGAATATTTGAGTACTTTAATTTTAATTCTTTCATTTATTATTTTTGTTGTTTCTGAAAATTTTTAAACATATTTTGATGTTTTATAAATAGTTCATATTTCTTAATTTTTAATTTTTTTTTTTTATTCTTTCGTAAAGAAATAGAAAAGAAAAAGAAAGATGTAATTTTATAGAGAACTAGAAGCAACTCGTTCTTCTCATAAGACAACAGCCGCAAAGGGTGCGCAATTGGTTGCAACTCGATCGAAGAGCAGCTCAAGTGTTCTACAGAAAATGGCTATAGCTCTTGATAATCCTCGAAGATCTTATCATCATACCTCTTCTATTGCTACCACTGCTACCGTTGCTACCACTACTACCACTACCACTACTACTGCTACCGCTTTCACCACAGATCAACATTACAGAAATGGAGTGAATATCGGAACTGATGATGATCCTGTAAGTAATTTAGGTTTTGTCACAAGTTCAAAATTTAAGTTTATGTCTAATTAATAAATTGGTTGTTCAGTGAAATTTTAAATATTAGATATCATACTGTAGCCTTTCAAGTTAATCAGTCATTAAAAATTACAAAAGAATTATTTTAAACAGTTTATGAAGTGGATGCCGACAAAATCTTTCAAAGTTTTGTATTCAACATGATTAAAAGTTTAGTTGTTAATGAGGAATATTGCTTTAAAAAATATATCCTATAGGTTTCATTGATATTTTACAGGAAGCAATACAACGACTAAGTTTTGTGAGTTCATCAACTGGTTACAGTTCAGCTCGAAGTAGCTTAAGAAGTTCCGAAATAAGCGATGAAAGTGTTCATCCACTTAATGCTTCTACCAACAAGAAATTGCTAACGTTCATTTTTACTTATGCAATTTTTAAATTCATAATTCAAAATTCATAAATTTATAATTTTCAACTTTTCATCTTGTAAATTTATGAGTGTTTCATCAAACTGCATTTGTCTAAATTTTCAAAAAAATCTAAACAGATTGAAGTTTAAATTTTGTTAGTGTATAAATTCTTTGTTAAAATTTCATTCAATTTTAGTTGATTATTTTAGACAAGAGTCATCATTATCAGAAGTACGCCGTTTAAAACTGTTAAATAGTGGTACAATAACACAATTAGATCGAATTGCCATGGAATTATTGGAAACTGAGCGTTCTTATGTTAATGATCTCAATGACATTATACAGGTGATTTGTTATATTTCGTTAAATTTTCAAATTTTAATTTTATGATATGATCAGATTGCTTATCAGTGATAATTCTCGTACTTTGATTCTTTCTATTTTTAAAATTTTAATTACACAATAGTGATACTTTTACACTACTACATCAAATGATTTGTTTCGAATAAATCATTCCTTGATTATTCCTCCAAATTTAAAACTTTCAATTTCTCTAAATTCATTTCTTTCTTATTCTTCTCTCTGTCTAAACTATGTCATTCACTAGAATATATAGTTAATTAATGAATTACATCAATCATTCTTCATCTTAACATCTTGCAAATATTGTAGAAAAAATTGCAACAAACTTTTATTTATTGTATATCAAATTACTTCCACAATAAAAATATCAAATTGTTCACCTAAAAGCAAATTATGAAACTTTGAAATAGAGAGAGAGAGAGAGAGGAGGAAAGAAAGAAAGAGAAAGAAAACTAATTGCAAAAATTTTTCGATAATGTGCTCACGTGAAGTTGAAGTCATTAATTGAATAGCTTAAACAAATCTGTTTCTTGCTAATTTGGTCCAAGAACCTAAACAAGTCTGTCCAAGTAAATTTGGCTCAGTAATCCTAAATGAGTTTTCTTTCGTGCTAATTTGGCTCAATAACCCTAAATGAGTTTTCTTTCGTGCTAATATGGCCCAATAACCTAAACAAGTCCTCTTTCCTACTAATTTGGCCCTTATTTGCTAGCAATTCAAGAAAAACTATTTCCTCTAAATCTTTTAATCTTTAATGCATTGAACATACTAAAATATAAAGCGACTCTTCTTACTATTATTATTTACATTGTAAACATATCATTTTTCATTAAACAATTGCTAATAATAGCACAACGATACATAAGAATGTAGAAAAAATCGAATTCTCAAACATTCTTCCATTAGTATTTATGAATTTTTGCTCTTTGCAAATAAATCATTTTGTGCATAAAAAAATAAAAATGTATGAAAGAGTTTTTAAAAAATTTAACCATTCAAATATACAGGGATATTTGAATTTTCTGGTGGATCATCGAGAGGAATTCGAGATGACCGTAGACGATATTTCCAATACATTTGGTTGTATTGAGCGTATCTTTCTATTCAATAAAAAGTTGTATCACGATTTAGATGCTGCACAATTGAGCGTTGTCTTGGTGAGTTCCTCAGAATGGACACTGTCCACTCTACTTCTAACACACATTTCTACACTCATCTCAATATCACTTCAATATTTCAATGATTTCAATCTCTTGTCATATTATTGGGAGTGTTAGGCTGTAGTTTCTGGCTAATCGGTAGTGAGTTCTTGCTCTCGTGCCGTAGTTGTTGGGTTCGACTTTGTGCCGTGGCATGAGTTCACTTTAGGCTGTGCTTATGATGACAGTGCGACTAGGGCGGTCTTATGTACCTCATGATGATGCGCAATTTGTGTACAAGCAGTATGCAACTGAAGCACAGACTCTAGTTGAGGACGAGAAGACCAAGGTGCTATTATTGACCTTTATTGACCCTCTAAATTGAGTTGTGGAACGTGAAGTGTGGGTTAAGTTGACCCTTTTCAAGATGGTTATGTTATATTTATCAGAAATGTAATAATTGGAAGTGTTTTAATAATTGCTATAAATTTCGAATTAGTTTAGCAATGAGTGAAATCAATTTTATATGATTGAATTGACTGTTACAGATGGCAAAATGCTTATCAGATAACATGGATGGATTCAATGATTATGTCATGTACTGCACTAAATATCAAATGTTAGCTTTTTTTTCATTCATATAATTCTTTTTTTTTTTTTGCTAAATATTTTGTGGTAATTAAATTATCTAAAAACAAAGAAAGAAAAATAACAAACATTTTTGCATAATTTATTTAAAATGTTTATATTTCTTTTAACAAAATCAACGATTGTAATTTGTTGTAATTTCGAGGATTTATCTTTTTTTTTTTTTTTTTTCAATTTCAGAATGGTTGAAACACTGTCGATTTTACTGAAAAATAAAAAAGTGGCTGAAAGTTTAAGACTTCGACAAGCAATCCTTGGACATTCGCTCCCTCTTAGTGCGTATCTGTTGAAACCAGTGCAACGAGTACTCAAATATCATCTCTTTCTCGAAGTAATCTTTCTTTCAACTACCATCAATTTATCATATTCTCTGCTCAATAAAAGTTTTGTGAGAAAAGTAGATTCATCTATCTAATTAGAAGTAACAATAAATCCGTTATCACAAAGATAATTCTTCCAGAGATTTTATCGGATAAATAGAATCAAAGCTTTTGCTGATTTATATTCTTGCATTCAATTGTGTATCATTTAACATCTGTTCCAGGTTCAATTTTTTACAGAATATTCTAAAAGCTTCAGTGGATTCAAAAACTTTATCAGATGGTGATCGAGCTGTCATTCTACAAGCTCTCCATTGTATGACTTCACAGGCAGAAAAAATAAACGAAGAGAAGAAACGTGTTGAGCATTTGGAACGCGTACGTGAACTTCAGAATGCTCTTCATAAGTGGTGTATCGATGAGAAGGAAGATCTATCGAAATATGGTGATCTACTTTTGGAAGCAACTTTTAAATTAGCTGGTGCTAAGACTAATCGACAGTTGTTTTTGTTTGAAGAAATGTTGTTGATTGTGAAGGAACGAAACGGTGCATTAATTTGTAAAGATTATATTATGGTAAGTGGTTGTTTCATTCATAAGTAATAATAATGGTTAAATATACTTAAATACACGTTAGAATCACATTTTGTATGCATTTTTTTAATCGATACATAATTATAGAACTATTTCCACATTCAAAAAATAGTGATATTGTTAGAATTACATTTTATTTTCTGAATATTATTACGTATATTAGTTTAAAACAAATTTTTTAGTGTTCGAGCTTAATGCTAAACGAATCAATATCTGCTGATCCATTGGCATTTCAAGTGCTCTCTTATGATAATCCAAAGATTCGTTACAACTTCCTTGTAAGTATCTTCTCATTTGCCATTGAATGAATTTATTCTTAATATATTGCTAGGAATGCTAGAATTATTTTTTTTTCTGAAAATTTCGCAAACGCAAATTTAAAACCTTCCGTTGTAATATTATTGAAATTTAGGCTTCAAGTATGGATCAAAAACGACAATGGATGAAAGAACTGAAACGAATGATGTTGGATCATTATGCAGTTCAAATACCAGAGAAAACTAAAATGTTGATGCTTAGTTTAAGTGATAATTGTTCGAAATCAGTTGGTGTATCCAATCAACAAGGTTACAAAATATTAGCCGTCTCAAATATAAATTAAATGAATTATATAAATTTGATGTTTCAAAAGTTTCTAGCTAATTAATAAGCAGAATCAGTCATTTTCATATTATATCTAATCTCTGATTATTCCTGACAATCAAAAATCAACAAGGGAGATTTCAGGTCTTGCATTAAATGTAAAACTTAATAAAAAAGTACCGAAGTATCTTGAGAAACGCCGAAAAAGCATTGATGCAAACCAAACATTCCGTCGATCAAATGTTCGAAAACGAAGTTGTTCTGGCAGTAGAAATATTTTAAAAGCAGTAAATTCTTTCATTTGTTGTAAATCATCGATCAATTTTTTCTAGAAGATATATCTCATAACAGATACTGTTGATAATATAAATGAACTTAATATTTATATAAGTTATCATAAAATTGAGGAGGTTGTACTAAAGAGGATTTTTTAGATTTTTGTTGAGTTATAGGATTCGGTGTTAATTGAAGTGGAAATCTGGTAGTATCAGCTACTTGCTGCAAGTTTCTTGCCCAGTTTTTCACGTTCTTTTTGATAATTTGAGACATTAAATTGTAATTTCTGAAACGATTGCTGAAATAGTCATGAACTTTTTTTGCAGAGTGATAAATGAAAATATTTCTTTTCAGTCATCAACAGGAAATCTTACTAAAGAAGTAGGAATGTATCAGGAAGCTGATGTTGCTCCAAAAGTTATCAATCATTTCTGCAGTTTTAGCAACGACAACAAGGTACATCCACGCACGTGGATTGATTTGAATTGATATTATTAGATTCTTTGACAAGTGATGTTTTTTAGTTTAATTTTCACAGATGAAATATATCAGTGAAAAACACGCTATCACCAGTATATTTTGGGGACAAACTTTTTTCAGAAACCATTATATTGGTCTTTGCTAAACCTCTTATTCTTTCTTGTATGACTTTCCAAACCTTATTTTTTGAAGAGGGAAAATCAGTGATCTTTTATCTTTCAAAATCATTATTTTTCCAGCCAACTACATCAACATCAATGGAAAACATTGAATATGCTGAAGCATCGGGACGTTCGACAACTTTTCAAAGTTTATTTTTAAAAAAGAAATCTGCTGAAACAAGTCGAAAAAGACCAAACTGTGAGCGCAAAAGCAGTCTTGTCTCTCATTTACCGCCATCCATTTTAAAGGTGTTTATTTTTATTTTTTTTTTTGTGATTGTCTTTTTGCTTAGAATGTCTTAGAATTTGAAATGTTTCTAACAAAATTTTATTTCAGCTTTTTGCATTTCTTTATTTACATACATTTCATTAAGAAAAAAAGGATGCGAAAAATTAAACGAAATTGTTCGGAACGTAGATTAAGTTGAAATTTCAGGATTATCGTATAAAGAAATCTTCGAACAATGTGTCAGATATTGCTAGCAATCAGCATCGAAATTATTCACAGTATGAAAGCAACAGCTTTTTCATCAATTCTTTTTTTACTTTGATTTTATTAATTAGAAGAATGAAAAATTGCTCTTTATATCTAAATATAATTAGCTTTTATAATGCTTATAATCATTATAAGCATTGTAATCTTCGATCATGGAATTTGTCAAAAACAATTTTATTTTAAGATTTATATGCAATAAAATTGAATCAAATAAGAATGGAAGCTATTGCAGGTGTCAGTGCTTGACGACAAATCCTACTACATCCTTGTATCCGTCACCTCAATCCATTTGTCCACATCCAAGCGCAAGTTGTTGTGCACAAAAGCATTTTGATGATACGATGGCCATTTTGTATGGAGTTAGTTTTTGATAAAAATTTGATAAAATTCTCGCATATTTACTGCTGATTGAAAAGAAAAAATCTTTTACCACCGAATCAGTAATCAGTTTACTTGAATTTGAAGTTCTACGGAAAAAGTTACTGGAACAGAAAAAGTTTTTAAAAAAAAAGGTTAAATAATCAAGATTGTCAATTAAATTTTGCAATCATATCGAGAAGCATTCTTCAGGAACTGCAATTATTGATGAAAAATGCGGAAAATCTTCATAGTTTTGGTGAGTGCAACAGAGAAGATAATAATGATAGGATGAAGATTGGATCACAAAATGAAATAAGCACTAGTCTTGATGTTTCTGCTAATGAATGTAGAGGTAAACTTTCGAATAGAACTTCTTTATTTCAACATTGAAGAATTACTGGTAATTTTTTTTTTCTGTGATTTTTGGGAATCAGACGACGACTTTTTGTGATTTTTGGGAATCAGACGACGACTCATTAACAATGCTATATATATTCTTGAACGTCACTTTAATATATTCAAGAAATTATTGTATATGTAGTCATATTAGTTACAGCTTGATGATAAATTTAACTTTTGGATAATTGAATCTAACATTAGTACGTTTTGGTCGCACCTAGGATAGTTCTCTGCAAAATATTGCATTACTTATGCCAATGTGAACAAGCTGTTATTTAATAAATAAAAAGTTGATCTTAATTTGAGAAGAAAAAACTTAAATTTTGAAATTGATATGATTTTTTTTTCCTTTTTTTCTGTTTTTTGCAAATGGCGGATATTTAAATTCATAGATTTATTGATAGAACGGAAAACAAAAAAGTAGTAAAAATTGATGCGTAAAACCTGAAATTAGTTTAGAAGACTAAATAAAATCTATTTATAATATATAATCTTTTAATTGAAAATTAAAATTAGCAATAAAATTATACTAACAAAATATAAACTGAAAAAATAAGAAAGACAATATTTTAAAAAAAATCACCAAAACAGCGACATGATAAAAACAAAGAAACAAAGAAAATAAACATGAAAAATATAGAACAGTTGAGCGTTTGAAAAAAAGAAAAAGTCTATTTACCGTTTATCATTGATTTATTAGCTATTTTAATAAGTAAGACTATAAATTAGCCAATCATTTCCACATATTTCTTTCCTTAATGTTTCCCCTTTTTTTTTAATCATTTTTATTGCTGTCTGAGTGATTAAATTTTTGAACGAGAAGTTCAGTTGTAAAAATATTTGAGCTAACTTCAACATCCTTTGAAAACGACCAAATACTATTCTAGTTCTAAACATCAGCAATACTAAATAACATTCTATTAGCAATAAATACGTCTTGATGAGTAGCTTTGCAAAAATAATTTTTCTATTCTAAACTTACACTTACACTTCAATAGTTTAATTCGGTTCAATACGGAAAAAACAAATTGATGCAAGAATTGACGGATATATTTTGATGCTAAAAATTTTCTTTTCTTTATAACAGAATTTAATAATTACTAGTCAAATCAGATTCCTCTCTTTTTGGTGCTTTCTTCAATTAGTCCAAAAATGCATACACACAAAAAAAAAAAAATTGTTTCTTTCATTAACTTCAAGAAGAAATTTTAGTTCAATCTAATTGATAAGTCAGTTTTTTGTTGTTGTAGCAATGGAGTGTAGTACTTCTTGTGATCCTACATTAGAATCAGAAGATGGTGATGAACCGACCAGTACTTTCTCATGGATCGAATCACCACATATCAATGAGAAGTAAATTTTGATACTTTTTTTTCTGAATATTCATTGCAATCTTTTTTTTCTTCTTATTTTTATGACATCGCTACATTTTAATTGTCATATTCGATTGGATCAGTAAATTAGAATTACTGTTTGAGATTCCGTGGATTAAGCTCCTATCATAACGTTCATCATCGGCGACGTTCATCACAGGTAGCAGAACAGGTATGGCGATTACGGCATAAACAAACGCAAGATCATAGGGATAATGAAAATAACACTGATAAGGTTTGAAATTGCTTCATTTGTAATTTTTTTAACCTAACTATTTTGTTAAGTTATTAAATGACAAATTTGTAATCTAAGGATTAAAATTTAACTCCTAGCAATTCAATAATTATAATTATTTTTATAAGCTTGATTTTTATGAGAATTTATTTTTATTTTATTTTTCAGAAGTTTAAAATGAATATTGCTTTACGATGTCAAAAATTTTTCCTCAGAATAGAATAAGAAGAAATGAAATTTGCAGAAACTGTCTATTTCATCGATAGCAAAGATGGAAATGTTGCCCAATGATACGATGACAAGGATATCAAAATCATCACAATCGTTGGTACCAAATCGTAATATCGATAGAATTGATCATCGATACTGTGTTGCCAGGTTTTTCATCTTTTTTTTTTTTGCATTTATTATCAACAGATAATAAATATTTCTGGTAAATTTACTATAATTTTTGTGTATATTTTAGACAACGTACACCACTTACGGTAGAGCAATGTGCAGAACTTGATGGTGAATTGAATTCGAATTTGGGCGCAATAAAAAAAATGATTAAACAGTTGGAGAAGCCTAGACCATTAATTACATTATCAGATCAACATGCCATTTAAATTTTGATTTTTTTTTTTGAACTTCCACCATTTATTGCAATCTAACAATTGTATTCTGTTGAAGATGTATAAAGAAGGATCAATAACGTTGAAATACTTTGAACATTTTTTCATTTTAATGTATTGATTAAATTATACTATTCAATAGGTATATTTTAATGCGATTTTGACAAAATAATATTACTTTGTTTTTACTTTACTTGTTAAAGTTTTCTACTAAATTTAGTACTTAAAAATTCAAAATTTTTTTGTCCTTTAAATCATTTTTATTGTTAAATTTTTATCACATCCTTCTTCTTCGTCTTCTTCAATGAAATTTTTTGCAATTTTTTTTTTTTTTTTTTGGGAAAAGTGTGTTTGGTCACGCATATTTGATTATGTATATTTTATTCATTTACACATTTTCATGGCTTCCTGATAGATTAAATGGATTAGATTCATTTAATTAATTGATGAACATTTCCTTTTTCTCAAATAATTTAATCCATTTGTTTATTGCTATATATTTGTTATCATAGTCTCTTGTATGCTTTTCTGAATTACTCGAAACGGTTACAAATTTAAATGTAAATGAGGAATGCACAGTCTTAAATTTTAGTGAAATTAAATTGAAAAAGTTTCTTTTTTTTTTTTTTTTTTTGGACTGGGTAATTGCATACTTATGCAAATTAAAATCATACTGCAATCAAATTTATTATTTACAACTTATTTTTATTTACTATATATCAATTATCTGATGTAAATTTCCTGCATAGAAATTTTTTGCATGAATTGATCTGTCAAAATTTTATCCAAAGATTTTTTTTTTTTCATTTTGCATCACAAATGAAACTTTAGCTTCAATAATTTCAGTAGTATGAGAAGAATGATGGAATGGTTTTCTCTTTTTTTTTTCGAGGATTTAACTGCAACTTGGTTATCTATTTTTCAGTCAATGATTTCTTTTTTTTTTTCAAACATCCAGAATATTGCTATTTTATTGCATAAATATTTCTTAAAGATTTATTTTTCAAATGTCTATTATCTGACTTTTGTTTAGAAAAAAAGAAAAAAAAAAATTGTGCATATTCTTGTAAGCCTTTCATCTGTTTTGTTAATGGAATATCTGAAGATCATTTCAATGAGATTTTGTGATCTGTACAAATGCGCATCCATTCTATATTACTGATCGTAAAACGCTAATTAAATTTTAATTGTATCTTTTAAAACACTAAGAGATGCAGCTAAAATTTATCAAAACATTATGATTAAAAAAAGATATAAGAATTTTTTGAAAGAGATGAAAATTAAACTTTTAGATTTTAATATAATTTTATATGTATCAAGTTGAAAAATATTATGTTTTTTTACGTTTCATTTGGGCGCATAAATTGTGGATGCGCCAATATCTCTTTCAATCTAAATTAATGATCATAATACTATCAATCATTACTTTTTCATGATGCAAGTGCCTTATTCTATCTATATTCTTTATTTTTGATAGCTTTGTTTTTACTTTTTCTTTGTGTTATTTTACTCGCTAAAAAAAAAAAGAAAAAAAAATGTCTCCAAAAATATGATTGACATTTCACGTTTTACTTACGTACGTCAAATACAAACATAAAAGAAACAATTCTTGCCATTATGCAAATGAAAAATGAATGAAACATAATCAAATATCATTTCTGATAATGAATAAAGGTTTTAAAAAAGAAAAAGAAAAGCAAAAAATATTTAGGATTTCTTGATCTTTCTTGACATTTCTTGATCCAATTAATGTATGATATTCATTATAAAATTAAGTTAGAACTAAGTTACAAAGCAATGTTACATATATGAAAAGTACCGCAGAATTGATCGATCGTTTTTTTTTTTAGATATCATTTAAATTCACTATCAAATTTTTTCAATGCTTAACATTAAATGCTTATCGAATTTAGCTAAGATTAAATTATAAAGCAATGGATGGAACATTTTCTATTACACATCATTGGTCAACAAACGCATCAATTCGTATAATAAATGCATAAACTGCTGACCAAGGCTAATGGCTAAATTATCTATCTCCGTTTGAAGTAAACATAAACTGCTGTAAATAAGAATTGTAAATAATTGTTTACAGCAGTTACATTAGCTAGACTTTATATCAAATGATAACAACAATGAGAAAAGATATTATAGATGGATTTGTTATTTTGCAATTGAATTAAATATTACGGAATTCCGGAATATATGAGAAGAGAGAGAGAGAGAGAGAGAGAAGGAGATAGTAAGGTAATGAAAAGATTGCTCATTTCATATGCAACATTGTTTACTATAAATAATTTCAACGAATAAACAACTTTTATTTAACAAATTTTTTTTTTTTTTTTGCTTTTTTTTTTTTTGTTCAATGAATTGAAAAGAAAATGTAATTTTGCATGAATAAATTGAAAAAGTTAGTGTTATATGTATGTGAAAGTACTGTAAAAGATATTTGATAAGAAATTATCGTTTAGCTAAATTAAAGACGAAAAAAAGAATATAAGTGAAATGGAATAAACTTTACATTTCCTTAAAACAAAATTCATTTTTGTTTTTTTTTTTTTTTTTTTGTAACTTTAAAAATAGCTATAAAAAATAAGTTGAATTTTGTTTCGTTTTTTTTTTTTATTAAACACGATATTTTGATTAAATAAAAGATTAACTGATTATATTAAAAAAATTTTTGTTGAAAATTTTAAAGTATGCAAAAAAATTTTTCGAACTATTTTTTTTTTTCATATGCAACCATATGTCCATTCGACTTTTATTACTTTTTTCTTTCTAGTAAAAAAAAAAAAAAAACTTTTTGTGATACATTTTTACAATTTAAATTTAGTTTAATTTTTTCTAAAGCAAAAATATGATTGATGATTGTTTGATAGATAGTGCAACATTAGTAAGATTTTTTTTTTTTTATTAAATTTAATCCTAATAAAAAGGGTAAAAAATAAACTGATTAATTGAATTTTTTTTTTCTTTTTTCATGTACTAATTTAAAATTACGAAAAAATTTTTCGTATGGTAAAATTTTTTTTTGTTTTTTTGATGAAATTGTTGAGAAGAATATGCATAGAAGAATGAAAAAGACAAGTTATAGTCGAATTTGTGAAAAAAAAAAAAGAAAACATTTCTTTAACTTTTTATTTCACTATAACATCAACACAATTTCAATATTTTTTGCCTCATTAATAGGCCAAGGTTGTTTTTGATAATATTTTCTGGGGCAATGTTGAAGTTATTTTTGTTAGGCAAAAGAAAATAAGAAATTTAGTAATTTTTTATTTCTATGAAAAATTACTAAATTTATTTTATTTTTTATAAATTTATAAATTCTAGGTTTTTTTTTTTAGTATAATTGAAAAGAAAAAGACGAATAGAAATAAAAAATGAAAAATATTTACAAATTAATAGATATTTAAGTTATCACCTCTCTTTTTTTTTAAGTCAACAATAAATTTCAATTGGAATAAGTTTTTTTTCTTTTCAAATTTCAATTTTAATTTTGAGCATTTTGAAAAATGTTGCCAATGATTTAGCAAAGTTTGCTACATTTTTGCTTAACATATGGATAAATTATGAATAAAAATGCAAATTCATTGAAAAACTTTTTCATTTCTCACATTTGAATGTTTCTACGAAAAGATGTAACTATTTTGAATTTTTAGCTTTCTCTGCTCTTTGAAAATTATTACATTAGCATTATGTGGAATTTTTTTTTTTTTTTTAAACTCTAAAATTTGTTTATCTATTTGCATTTGTTAGTAGCATTCACTCATTTATATTTGCATAAATAATTTTTTTGTTATCTATTTAAATATGAAATGGATAATAGAAAGACTGGAATTGAATTTATACAAGAAATGAATTTTTACATTGGGAAATTCTAATTGTTCATCATTCTCCAATGATTCATCTCAATGCAAGAATAATTTTATAATCAATTATGTGTGCATACATTTGAGAATTGGAATTTGAATATCAAATTACTAAAATTATGACAGATAGAGGCAAAGTAGGCAGTAGTTTGAATGGATTCACAAACAAACAACTGGCAGAAGATGATGGAATATTTTGTATTACAATTATATATTTTATTTTATTTGAAATAATAAACGGTATTCTTGAGCTTAGGAATTTTTTGATTGTAAATTACTTTCAGCAAAAATTAAAGAAATATTTCTTTTTTTTTTTTTGTTTCTGATCATTCAGATGGGCAATACCGCTTCTCGAATCTTATTATTCAATTTTTGCGCTTCTATTGTAAAACGATGACATTAATGTACACAACTGCATCTGTCATCTTTAAAATTATCTCTTTATTTCCCTTTTTTTTTTTTCTCTTTTTTGGTCAGGAAAGTACATTTTTGGATTGCTATAGCATTTCAAAAAAAAAAAAACACACTAAATGTTCTATGCCTGACATTTCTGCTCTTTGATAAGATTATTTGATTTGTTGATGGAAAGGAAAATTAATTAATTACGAATGAAATGAAATTAATTAACAAATTAACCATCAATCTAACTATTTTCTTTGCAATCTTCATTACATCACATCTTAGATAGTTAATGTTTATTTACTGAGTAAAATTAATATTTATACTGCAATGAGACTACTGACATTTCAATTTTGTCAAAAGATAAAATTAATTTCAATTATATCTGTTTATTCAAATTATAACCCTAACAACTCATTCATTCACTTTATTGATCTCTCATTCATACATTTATTTTTTTTTAATGCTAATTTGGATGAGTGAAGCCTTGGCTAATATCTAGCATTTCAGGCTACCAGAGAAAATATTGGCTAGCCAATAGTAATATCTATTTGCCAGACATTCATTGTCATTTTGTTTCATCGTAGTGACAAAAGTTATCAATCAATCATTAAAATATGTAAACATTATCAGATAATATTAATTGATCTTCGCTATTTCAGTGATTAAATTTATTAATAAAAATATTAATTCATTTGATATTTCATTTTCAAAAAGATCAAA